ATGCCACTGGAGTTAGAAAGTGGGGTGTGAGGGGGATATAGTAGGTCAGGTTGGGGATGGGAGGTGGGGGCTACATGCCACTGGAGTTAGAAAGTGGAGTGTGAGGGGGATATGGTAGGTCAGGGTTTGGAATGGGAGGGGGGGCTACATGCCACTGGAGTTAGAAAATAGGGTGTGAGGGGGATATGGTAGGTCAGGGTGGGGATGGGAGGTGGGGGCTACATGCCACTGGAGTTAGAAAGTAGGGTGTGAGGGGGATATGATAGGTCAGGGTGGGAATGGGAGGTGGGGGCTACATGCCACTGGAGTTAGAAAGTAGGGTGTGAGGGGGATATGGGAGGTCAGGGGGGGGATGGGAGGTGGGGCTACATGCCACTGGAGTTAGAAAGCGGAGTGTGAGGGGGATATGGTAGGTCCGGGTGGGGATGGGAGGTAGGGCTACATGCCACTGGAGTTAGAAAGTGGAGTGTGAGGGGGATATGGTAGGTCCGGGTGGGGATGGGAGGTAGGGCTACATGCCACTGGAGTTAGAAAGTGGAGTGTGAGGGGGATATGGTAGAACAGGGTGGGGATGGGAGGTGGGGCTACATGCCACTGGAGTTAGAAATTGGAGTGTGAGGGGGATATGGTAGGTCCGGGGGGGGATGGGAGGTGGGGCTACATGCCACTGGAGTCAGAAAGTAGGGTGTGAGGGGGATATGGTAGGGCAGGGGGGGGATGGGAGGTGGGGCTACATGCCACTGGAGGTAGAAAGTAGGGTGTGAGGGGGATATGGTAGGCCCGGGGGGGGAAGGGAGGTAGGGCTACATGCCACTGGAGTTAGAAAGTGGGGTGTGAGGGGGATATGGTAGGTCCGGGTGGGGGTGGGAGGTAGGGCTACATGCCACTGGAGTTAGAAAGGGGAGTGTGAGGGGGATATGGTAGGTCCGGGTGGGGGTGGGAGGTAGGGCTACATGCCACTGGAGTTAGAAAGAGGAGTGTGAGGGGGATATGGTAGAACAGGGTGGGGATGGGAGGTGGGGCTACATGCCACTGGAGTTAGAAAGCGGAGTGTGAGGGGGATATGGTAGGTCCGGGTGGGGATGGGAGGGAGGGCTACATGCCACTGGAGTTAGAAAGTAGGGCGTGAGGGGGATATGGTAGGTCAGGGTGGGGAAGGGAGGTAGGGCTACATGCCACTGAATGCACAAAATCTATACATTACGAAGTACTAAGACATAAAAATAAAAGAATGTACAGAAATCTTTCATGTCAGTCAATTGTAGATCGTTTTGATCTGATGATGCAAGTTTGAACACATTAAAACAATCCGCTCGTTGTGATCTAGGGATAGGTTTTCGTTAGCTGAAATTGGTTGAGTAAGTGGTTCAAACAGAAGTGCGCTGATTTGGGTATATTTTGGACAATAAAATCTCATTATGAGAAGTTCTTTTTACACAACCAATAAAAAATTCTATGTGACCTTTCGATGACTAGCACGGTATGTACACTGTCACCTTCATCAGACAAATAACCAATGAAGTGTATGCACACAAAGGTGTAAAATGTGTACGAGTTGTCCATAGAATCGATGTCGATTTCGGCTTCGCTGGAAACGTATGTACAATAGCTGTTATATATGTACCGAAATGACCCAATTCAGCTACGCCTTGTTAACACTTGGTCTTAGACGTGCGAGAGTTCTTGATCCCCCTCGTCTCGATTTAGAAGTCAATAAACATCTCTTTAAGCCCCAGTATAACTGTTACTTGCAGTACATAGTTTCTATATTTTCCATATCGAATAACCTGGCTTTGATTTATCATAGATATTTTGTATAATATGAATCAAGTATAACTAACCCAGTATAAGATATCTGTGTACAGGGCCTACAAGGAGTTCCAAGAGAGGCGTACTATGTCACGACAAAAATTGGAAGGTACCTACCGGAAGTGGATAAGATGTTTGACTTCCGGGCGGAGAGGACGATACAAAGTGTGGACGAAAGTCTACAGCGGTTGGGATTAGATTACGTAGATGTTATTCAGGTAATATCAAGTATCTTAAAAATTAGAATTCCCTCTTTGATCGTTACGCATCGTAGTACATGGCTTGTCAAATATTGCATGTAGTACATTTGTATATAATATTTGAGAAGAAAATAACATTTTAATTCCAAAAGTTATTACATAAATAAGAAAAGTTACACTTACGTGTAAAATATATAAATGTTCACGAGTAAGAAAGGATATGTTTAAGTGTGAAATAAATAGATTTAAATGAATTGAAAAAAATATGAATTGAAAAATTTCCATTTGGATAAAAACGAATGGTTAATTTGATTTCAAGTATTAAAGGTATTTGGATTCGATGTTTGATTACTTGTTTGATTCCTACTGCAGATCCACGATATGGAGTTCGCTCCTGACCTTGACATTATTGTGAACGAGACGTTACCCGCCTTACAGAAGGTCAAGGACAGTGGCAAGGCTAAATTTATCGGAATAACAGGGTATCCCCTGGGAAACTTCAAGTACGAACAACTCTTTCTTCTTGGTGTTCATAGATATTTTCGTAGCAGGATTTCCATCAGAAAAAATACTTGCAAATAGCTCCATCATCGATAGATGACCTCATGTAATATCACACGAATACAATGCCAAACTTGGCACGATTTTCAGAAGAGAGTAATGATGGCCCAACCAAAAATATCAAACGAAACCAGTCTATATTAAAGGGGGCGGGTTGCCCTTTCATGTACATACAATAGGCTAGTATATATCCCGCTTCATTGCCTTTAATTGCATTTAAATTCTGGCTTTGGAGTGACATGTCCTTGAATAGCTTGCACAGACATGCATCATGTTTTCCTTGTAAACTTTGAGATGTTGAGTGTTGCGTTAATAGACAACTTTGAAAACTCCAAAGCATATGAAGTGATGGAAGAAATGAACTTGACTGACTGTCTTGTTGAAGTCAATTCCTGATACTATTTGTTGTTCGTATTGAACATGTTTCCCAAAACCGATAACACAAAGCTGTATTTGTTGTACAGATAATATGAGTAGCTTTTTAATTGCGATAATTAATTGGGTCAACAAGATGTACACTCAAGACGTATCATGAAATGGCGCCAAATTTTCGGATAATTTTGAGTTTTTGAAGTCGTGTATTAAACCGTTTGCTACTTCCAGGAAAGTGTTGGAACGAAGTACAGTGCAGGTCGACACAGTTCTCACCTACTGTCATGCCTGTATGAATGACAACTCCTTGGCTGAACATTTACCCTACTTTAAGGTCTGTAGTCACATCATCAACGTTATTATCTCGTCTGTTTGATATTGTCTGTCTGCCCTCTTTGATATTTGTTGCGGTAATTTTATCAAAATAATTAATTTCCAATTCATAGGAAAAATTTAGGATTTAAATCATACATGTTTATCATAAAGGAGAAAGGAGTGGGCGTGGTCAACGCCTCCCCCATCAGCATGGGTCTGTTGACAGACCGTGGCCCCGCCTCCTGGCATCCAGCCAAATCTGACGTCAAGGACACGTGTGCAAAAGCCGCCGCCTACTGCCAGGTATGTAGGCTTGATGGTAGAGGTGGTCTAAAATCTGTTTTCCCTGGCATGAAAGATAGAAGATGTAACGCTGTTTGTATGTCCGTCTTTATTTCTATATATATATATTTAACGTCGTTATAGCGAAATGTTATGTGACGTCATAGTTTATGACGTCAATACTTCAAATAAACAGTCTGAAGAATCTCCTAGAAGAGATGAAAGTGCTAAAGATTCGTTGTTAAGAATTTTTCTTTAGATAATATATATATATATATATAGAATAAAAACATAAATTTTTCAGATCGTCCGCTAGGCCTTTCTGCCTTCTAGGGTTCTTCAGGCGGATTAGCCCTAGAAGGCAGAAAGGCCTAGCGGACGATCTGAAAAAAATATGTTTGTATTCTATATTTTCCTTCGCAAGGACTTATTTATTTATTATCTACTATATATATAATGAAACATTAACACTGAAGAGCTATTTTTACGAAACATATGCATAGCTAGAACCACGCAGGAAATATAACAACCTCATTAGAGTTAAACAAAAACACAAAAAAAGAAATACACACTTTACTATAATCAGATATTCATTAAAAACATTATACTATGATGTTATATTGGATTAAGATAGTGTAATGTGATAAAGTATAATTTGTTTAGTTACAATTATCTAAATAATAATCAAAACTTAAGTATAAATCCTGATTACAGTAAAATAAGGTCAGCTTAGAAGACAGGTGAATCCCCAACCTACCTCCTCTGGCCATAGAAAGAGAAAGAGAGCGGAGGATCGTGCCCACGCACGTCCGGACTCGTTTCCCTTTAATAAGTTGGTTTTAATTTGGTCAACCCAAATCTACACAAAGCACCAAAGTGCTGGCTTTGAAGTGTTTTTCATGGTATAGGCCAAATATCAAGGTCTCCGATACTATATATAGAAAATCGTGTTTCTACACATTAATTTGAGTTTCCTTTGATGGAGAGAACTCAAACATTATCAGTGGTTCTGTTGTCTAAATCTTAATGTCATGGAAAATGGTCAAAGTTGAAGGTTTGCTTTGATTAAGATAGCAATAACTTTAAGATCATTATTTTGGTAAATCCAAGCAAATTGCACACAGGGGTTCCTTGCTTAAAGCAGATAGTATAGACTACAACGGCTTCGTACTGCGTTGCCTGATGCGTTTGTTTGCGAGAGGGTTGGGCTTTTCCTTTTTATGTCAAAGGTCCATTGTAAAGGTTATTTCCTGTAACTAAAAATGCAGAACTTCAATATAATTAAAATATATTCAAATATTATTCTCCATAACCTTAAAGTTAGTCAAAGGGGCCAGTTCTACTAAGCGACACCTTGTTAGTTTTGCGTCGTTAAAATGAATTTTCAGTAACATGAACTATCTTTGATCGTTTTGAGAATGTACTCGAATGAAACATACAGCTTCTGTCTGTTATTGTGTGTTTTATAACAGTGAACTGTTTTCTGTAGGAGAAAGGAGTGGATATTTCCCGCCTCGCTTTGGCCTTCACTCTCCGCCAGTCCATACCTACAACACTGTTCAGCACTGCCAGGTAAGGACTTGTTCTAAGAAAACAATGGTTAAATTGTCGATAGTCCATATCAATATACGACATCTGGGTTCTTCTGATATATCTAAGGGTAATCTTTGAATAAATATATTGTTCTATCTTATACAAGAATGTCATGGAATCCTTGGTTTAGAGCTGTATTACTCTGATGTTCAAGTGTTCTTTAACGGGCCAGTATCACATGTGTTGACAACATGGGCATGTATTCATGAAACCGTTCTCATGCTCAATGATGGATTTTGTGCTGAAGCCAAATTTCTTGTTCTGGTTATTAATTGATAAAAAAAAACGTATTTTGTCAATGATTTGGACAAAAACTGAAGAAACTTAAAGACAAATACTGTTTTCAATGTTTACACTTGACTTATTGACCGTTGACATGATTTAAGCGAGTTACAAGAAAACTGGTTTGAGCACAGAACCCATGCTTGAGCATGAGAACGGTTTCATGAATACAGGCCATGGTGACGCCATTGTCTACCGATTCGGTTTCAAATCTAAATCAAAGCATATTTCTCCACACGGTCATCTGAATTTCCGAAGTTTGGCGAATATTCCACTTAGGTTAATACTTTCTTTTTCAATTGTAGTACTGATAATCGTAAGGTAGTGAGAGTTACATTTCAACTACATTGAATAGCAAAGAGTAAAGCGGTTTGTTCTTTACCCGTTTGGTAGTCATATATGACGTCACAAAGTGGCGTTAGTGACGATTCTAATTGCGTCGACACAAATTATCCGATTCATAAACCAATAACGCTACTTGGGATTCCCGCTCCCTCCTCATTGCCGCGTACTTCAAATAGTACATGTGTATGAAATGAAAACATACCCGAGATGTACAGTTGTTTGTAGTGTTAATATCAAACTGTTGTGGTAATTGTACGTATTACTTGTCAGCCTTGTGAACGCCAAGAAAAACCTGGACGGCCTGTATACACCACTCACCGCCCTGGAGGAGCAAACGAGCCGTGAGGTCATGGACAGGTCAGTAACACAAACGATAAGGTGTAAAATAAAAATAATGATCTGATTCTCACGAATTCTCTCATTCAATAGATATATTTGAAGATTGCAGCTTAAATAAGATCTCACTACAATTAAGTGATTTGTAGTATAAGTTGCCTTTGTGTTATCCATAATTTGTGTTGAGGGTTATATGTACCCTTCGACCCATTGTAAAATGGTACAGGGGTTAAACAGAGAAATACTGATAATTCTTGTTATATTTTTGTTATTATTTGCAAAAATTAGTCTCGGCTTTGCTACAAAAAATATATCCTCTCCTGTTGCTGTAAAAATAACCTCCCTGTAGCTTCCGATATGACTGAAGACCAATTTGGCCAGAACACATCCGGCGCTAGCTGGTTGTGAACATCAAAGATGAGCTATACAGGATATAGGCCTAAGGTATATTGGGGAATATGATACTGACGACAATAAGTTTTATTCATTAATTAAGGAAAGGTTAATTTATATTTTTAGAGAAGAATGTGCAGAAAAGATAGAACATCCTCGAAAGTAAATGTTTATATTGATATCTTTACGATAATTTTTATTAGCAAAACTACCTCTGAAAGAAATAACAAAAAAAAAATACATTGTTTTCTCATAACTTAAATGTAGAAAACGGACGATATCAAAACATTGAGTGGAATCGTAGAGTGTGTAATTTATGTAATTTAGATCGTGTTGAAAATGAGTTTAATTTTCGTCTTAGCAATTTTTTTGAAAACTGCTTACATTAAAAAGCCAAACATGTTGGACTCTTGAGGGTGAAAAATATGAAAGAAATGGCGAACTTAGGGAAATATTTGAGAAGAACCCAATTATTATAAATAGCTTTAGTTGCACTCTCCAATAATGTGATACTGTTTCTATTTGTAGTTGTGTTGTGAGCGTGTGTAATGTCGTGCAACATTGTTTGGTATTATGCCTTTTAAATATCGCGCTTTTTATTACTGTGTAATTGATGAGTCGAAGGACTCTAAGTAATGAAGAACTTGACATTGCCCCGCGGTGCTACTTCACTCTTGGAGCACTGTTGTTGACTATGCTCTGTATATCTCATATTTCTCATTTCTCATAAAAGGCTCTCAAGATCTGGTCCTCGTCTCAGAAACAATTTATCAAAGCTATTCCGTCTTTGCGTATTGCAGAGTTATCTTCTCTTTGGAGCAGGTGTTGATTGTTACGTCATTGGTTTGTGTGAGAAAATTACGTCGTTTTCTCAAAAATTGATGACGTTACTCTCACAAACAAGTGACGTAACAATCAATACCTGCTCCCAAGAGAAGATAACTCTGCAATACGCAAAGACGGAATAGCCAGTCCGGAAAAACCCGTTTCCAATACTTAGTTACAGTTTGTTAGTGGTATAGGGTTCCTGAAATTTTTCATATATTTACTTTCTCCTCTTTTTCATCTCCAGGTTCATGAAACCATTAAACAACAAGAACTGGGAAGGTGAAGAGGTCAAAGAATACTGGGAAAATCTGGGACGCAAATAACGGTCAATATGACAACTGCAAGACAGCCAAGTTTTTCATCATCGACCTGCCACTGTAACAAAACCTCATTCTCGATATCCAGGGGTCACTTTAGCGCGCGAAAGTGAGCGAAAATGAGCGTAACTCCTGGATATCGAGGATGCTGAAACCTCAGTTCATACCCAAATATTTTTTCCTCATTATTACGTTTGAAACGTTTTAGCAATTGAAACTTTGTAAAATATTTTGCAAAATAGATTGCTTTAAACAATTAATTGATTCCATGATTTACCTTTAATATTTTTTAGACATTAATATGTGTTTATAACATGTGTTTATTAACGCTTAATTATTAATTAAGTTGTAAATAAGGATTACAGAGTAATATGCAATCATACACCTGGTGAATGTCTTCCTAGAAACTAAGCACAACTGTCTTTTTATGTAATAGCATGTACGACCAGTTGACTGTGTGATGAAAAGGAGGTTGATTATACAGATATACAATGTTGATATTGAATCGTTAGTAACTCAAATTGAATGTTAGAAACTTTGTTTTCTTATGAATACTTGTCCGTGGATGTTGTATTATTTTCAACGAACATTGAAATATATATATTTATTTATTTCCAACGCACAACGGATGTTTCAAATTAATCATTTGTAATGAGGATATTAAAGTGAATGTGTATGAGAGTTGATCTTTTATGATTGATAATCTCGATCAATGTTATTTCCACCGATTGTAAGTCAAGTGATAATTGATATTAAAAGAATATCTCAGGGTATCAAATACGCTATTCATATGTCATTTTCGGTCAAATACTCGGTCATATCATTTCAGGGATTACATTGGTAAATAAATAATGTTAGCTTTATCCCTCCTTATGATAGACTTTTTGTATAACGATAAGAAACAGAATAACACCAACAGTGTTTAATCGTCATGTTTGTTATAACAATACACAGATGTTTTCAAATGTCCGAAATGAATAAATGATTATCAACTATACATTTAAAATGTGTGGGTGTTTTTTTTATCAATCCATAAGGACTGCCATAGGTAAAACTCGTTATTTACAGGAGAAATATGTATATGCTAATTATGGACATTAATAGTCTCCGATAGGGGCCAAAGTATTGACGAAAACTGCTTCTTATGATAAAACATGAAATAAGGCATTAAAGTGCTTCTTATGATAAAACATGAAATAAGGCATTAAAGTGCTTCTTATGATAAAACATGAAATAAGGCATTAAAGTGCTTCTTATGATAAAACATGAAATAAGGCATTAAAGTGCTTCTTATGATAAAACATGAAATAAGGCATTAAAGTGCTTCTTATGATAAAACATGAAATAAGGCATTAAAGTGCTTCTTATGATAAAACATGAAATAAGGCATTAAAGTGCTTCTTATGATAAAACATGAAATAAGGCATTAAAGTGCTTCTTATGATAAAACATGAAATAAGGCATTAAAGTGCTTCTTATGATAAAACATGAAATAAGGCATTAAAGTGCTTCTTATGATAAAACATGAAATAAGGCATTGAAGTGCTTCGGGCCATCGTATAATTTTCAGATATGTAGGCACCTCGATATCCGGTTTCAATCAAGATGACTGACAGTATTGTTGCTTATAAATACTTGCTATGTAACGAAAATCTGTAGTGTCGGGTCTGATTCCTAGCGGTAGCAAGTCTCTGTTTCATCGCTGTAGTCTTATACATACAAATAATATGCGCATTTAAAAAAAAGACGACCAAGAAACAACATTATGTTATAAAATAATTGTATTAAAAGTAACAAAATATTATATCTTCTTTTCCATTTCCGATACAAATATTAACTTATTCACTAAACATGGAATAGTAATAAGTCTATATCACATTAACAAACAAAAACGACAGAATAAATTATGTTTAAGCATTTGTGACTAAGCAACATAAATAACGTTAAGAAAACATGAACAAGCTAGAATTGCCTAGGATACACATCACACGGCTGATGTTAAAGCCTTCTAGGTCCCTACAGATTCGGCGACGTTAGAAAAGCGTCTTGGCAGATATCACCGTCAAGCATTGTGCTCTTTCTACTGTGTGGCCCTTATGACATTGGTTTGTGGATAAACAATTTTGGACGGGAATGTACAATATAAGGGCGCCAGACATAGCTCTTCATCAATCAGCTATGTAAGTACATGAGGCTCGGTAAAATTGACAAATGTGCATATGAATATTCCACTGAAATCACCAGTAGCTAAGCGCGTATCTTATACAAAGGGGAGTGTTAGGCGGTGAAATGGAATGATCTGCTGATCAAAATTACACGAAGATATTTTAATATGTTATATGAATAAATATTCTACGGAAAGGCATTACTATATGAGCAATTATCAGTGGAGTATTGACACTTTCTATATACTTAAATAATTACAATATAATATGACCTACCAGGTAAGAATAAATAACTGGTCAGTTAGAATGACTAACTACTGGTTTGTTAGTAAACATGCTCATTAGCGTACATTTGATCCCTAAATAAGCAAAATGGAAACGTAAAGGACAAAGAAAAATAATAAAAACGAGATAAACGAACTTTAGGCAGTAGCTCATATTTTCTATTTATCAAAAGAGGAGTTACATCTAAATATTTAAATAAATATTCCATCAGGTAAAGTCGCATTTGGAAAAAGAAACGGCCCCACCCTCCACAGCTTTCCGAATTTTTTAAATACTAGATTCGCCCCTGAAATATAACTAAACAAACTTGATTCATACATTTCCATAACGATCAAAACGGCTCTTAAAATCAAATAATGTAAACAAATGACAAACTGCAAATATATCTTCTGAAACAAATTTTCATGAAAGTGTTGTGTTTTTTTTTAATACTTTTAAAAATTCAATTGAAGCGAACATGATATTGAAGGAATAACAAGCAAAGCCTTATTGATCTGTAGAGCTTTCAGTGGGAATCGCTTAAAGACACAATACAACCACACACTGTAATCGATAAACCAATATCAGCGAAAGTTTCCGGTTGTACAAATGTCAAACTAGTATCGACGTTTGCAAATGCCAGGACGACATTCAATAAATCATTCAAAAATATAAATATGAATGTTCGTTCCTAAAAGCTCCAGAATATACACATGATCTATTCATGTTTTAATAATGCAGTTCTGACAGGGTTACTTTAGCACTCGATATAAAGATATTGTGTATACAAACAAACCTGCTGCATAAGGTCTTACCAACATATCTCATGAATAATGTATTTAAAGGCATTTGTCTACTACAATGAGCTTATGCGTTCTTTAGTACTCACATTTGTATCTTTATAAACGAATCGTAGAGATCGTGGGGCATAAGCTTTTCATAAGATAGTGTTGAATTTGTCTCAATATCAAATATGCGTGGAAATTCACATAGGAAACCGTGACGAGAGGAGTCTCACATCTTAAACTAAAATAGATATCACAGAAAATGTTACCCGAACGGTTTGCATGTTATAATAACAACAATACGCACACAGACTGAACACAATCACGTATATAACTGTAGGGATAAAAGTCAAAGTCTCCAAATTCTAAAACATGTATTAGCATAGACAATGTTGCCAGCACATATGATTAGTCATATATTTACCCTCTCAGACATCGCATAGTCAGGCAACATAATACTGCCGACCGGTAAAGGCGAAAGGTCAATTCAAATTAGTTTATGTCAATAGACCTATTCCTCAGTTTAATTTTTTTTCTCAGAAAGAGGAGGTAATTATATAATGAATGCGCCATAGAGCCAATGAGTGCAGAAAATGACCGGACAAATTCAATTTAACATCTTTAGACCTTGTTGGTAAATGTTTAAGTTGTTTGTCCGAGTTATTTTTGGAATGGTCCGAGAATATGTGAAACAGGAATAGTCTATACAATTAAGGGAAGTAACTCCAGTTGCCCTTACGCCATGATAGGAAAGGAATGTGATCAAATTCGTTATCTAGAGACACTGTTCTCAACTGCTGACTTGTTCCAGGGCCATATCTAGTCGTTCTTTGGCCCAGTTTATATCCAGGGTTCGGGTCACTCGCTCCATGAACGCACTACGTGCTGGTCTGAATCGTAAACGATGGCGCTGGAGGACAAAAGTAAAACGAATTAACAAATTGACCGGAGAGTTGTAAAAACTGGTTGACACTAATACTGTATTAACCTTTTTAGGACTTAAAAAATATCAGGTAGACACAGGAAATATTTTATTTTGTTTTACTTGAACAAAAGAATGTTCACGGACACATGAACAACATAGTGTTCACAGACATACAATGAAAACTTTGTTTTTGGCTCATTGTATAAGACAAACTGTAAACCAATGAGGAATATTTTAAGTAATCATTAAAATTACATACGTTGAACTCGCCAGGCTTTGTAGGATATGGTTCGTTGTCTAAGATTAGCTGCCTCTCCCACCTAGGCAGCAAATGCACAGGGGGCGCCATCTGCAGTCCTTTAATGTTCCGGTCGGCTGCTCTTTCAAGGGGTTCGCCGTGAACTGTGAAGATGCAAACATGGGTATGGTCAGAAAGACTATAAGAGAATATTTACATTTGGTGTGGCAAAGCCCTTCTATATAACTACTAAGGTACTGCCAATAGCAGCTTCATGGTATGAGACTATAACTGAAGTTGGTCTTTGCACCTCCGATCGACTTAACAGTGTCACTACCGAACTTAACGGTATCTTCTGCTTTGTGTCTGTGAGATCAACAACAAAAAATTTCGCCTGGATTTTTCACCAATTCAGCCTTCTCCGGTTGCACGATCAACATCAACAACATGCCGAAATGCAAATATAACTCTGACCTGATTACTGCGGGCTTCCGTTGAGTGCGTGCGCCGGATATAGGTCGCAATAAAATCGGAAAATGTTTTACGACAATTGAATAGTTACTTACAAAATGTTATTTGTTAATATTTTATGAATTGAGAATATGATATATATAAATTAAAAACAAATGAATTATTAACGAAAGTTGCGTTATAAGTCTTTTCAATTTTGTATGAAAAAAAGCGCGCACCATTCAGTTTGTCTGTGACACATGTGGCAGTTATACCAGTTGATCTGCCACATCTATGCAGTTTGTTGCTTAATTATATGCATAGTATTTTTTCATCAGAGTCCTTTAATATTTTTTGGGGATTCAATACGTGATTTGACTTCTAGAGTGCAGACTGACTGTTTGATTGTTATCTGATTGGTTAACTAACTAGTTTCTACAAAATGAGAACTTCGTTTTAGATACGAAAATAACTATGATCGTACCATATGCTTCGAATATTAACTCATCTCTTTAAAAGTAAGGTTTCATATCTCATAATATCTACTGCATTACATCTCTCATAGAAATTCCGTGAATATCTAGCTCACACCAGAATAACTAAGACGTCACATATTTATATATCTAAATGGATATTTTAATAGGCGTTGAAATCAATTTAGTTAATTATCGCTTGTTGAAAATGGTTTTCACACAGTAAATCTAAAAAATGCGTATTTTGTTGTTGTTGCAATTAATAACTTCTTTGAAACTTAATTATTCATCTCGTATGATGTAATCAATGCAAAAGGTACATGGCTATTTCAGACTTATAGCCACGTACACTTATACGCTGCCGTTTATCATATTCAAAGACATATTTTTGTCATATAAGATCACAAGTGTTGCTTAAATAACATATACTTACTGATATTTAATCGATCGGTGTTAAAGTATATATCAAACGGATCGGCTTCCTCATGTGTGGTAAACTCGGGTAGTCCCATCTTCTTGATCGGGGGATACTGAAAACCCAAAGGGTTGAAAGTCTGTATTGAGTGACAAGCAAACATATCACTGAGAACCTCAATCGTTTATCACCTCTTGGTCATTCGGAACACTTCGTGTTTTTTACATACCTCAGAATGAGCAAGTTATTTCAATCAAAAGAAAGGGAACAGAAATATCAAGCTGTGTAATTCAGTCCTACAATAAAAAGTTATAGACAAGAGTTAAGCAAGCCACAGCAAAAACAGGTGGACAAAGTCGCACCATACGTACCCCTCTAAAATCGTGTTCTGTCGGATTGACGAACATTTCCGGTTTGAACATGCCCTCCCTTACGAATTTCTTCTTTGCAGTGAATGGTCGATCTATGTGGAACTGGGTGATTATACGCCCTTCCGGTGTCTTTTTGGGCATTAAAATTTTGGGCATCACTTTTGTGGAAGGTTTCTTCACAAACACATGTTCACCTGGAAACGTGCCATATCTCCATGGTTGCATCGATTCCCTCGAGTTACGTTTTGGCGGATTCGGAGCAAACTTCTGGGGCCGGAAGTCGGGAGGTGGGCGTTTCCAGATGTCATCGTCTTTTTCCAACTCCTTCTTTGAGAAATTAGTACTTCGTATTGTTATGAGTGATTCGTTGGCGTCGTATTTTGTCTTTGAATCAAATCCGAACGGGAACATAGACAGACTGCTGGCAGAGCTGTCCGATCGTCCGACCTGGTAGCGAGGTACGTCGGACATCGACGAGGAACATGCACTCATCATGAAACCGGGGATAGAACTGCGTCCGAGGTCAAAACTTGGCAATTATTTCATTGTCATGCTGAAAGAGGATATAAGAATAGTTTATATCAGTTAAGACTCAATATTTCTTTGTGTAAAGTCCTAATATTTCTTTATGTAGAGTCCTTATTCCCAGCTTCCGACGATTATACATGATATTCCGACTAAAAGTTTTTCTTTTTAAATATATATATATTAAGTCAATAATAAATATACAACATGTATTTAGATTTAGATTTCCTGATTAAATATCAAATGTTCAATAATAGAATGTACATATGGATATGCCACTTGGAAAGGGTTTTCCTTTTGAAATGTCACGATAAATCCCGTTCAGCACAGGTGTGTAACAGATATATATGTCTGAGCCAGCACGTGGCCTATACTGAATCACTCCTCTAACTTTGTAGGGGAGAGATCGAGAAAAGGATTAACCTTTCAGGTCGACGAGTCTTCGATTTCTTCCCTGCTTCAATGTTTGAGTAAAAAGTTAAACAAAATTGTGAAAGCGCCTAGAAACCTCCTGTCAGATCAGAAATTGGATATGTATGCAAATACACGCAAAGGCTAATCAATGAACGAAACTGGAATTACCTGTAAACTGGAGTCCGTCCCCGATATCTTAAAATTACTCACAAGCATTCAGGCTACCGTAGAATTCTAATAAATATCTTCATGTCTTGTTATTGATAGCAATATTACACATAATAGACAAAGTCAGATCGATATTTAATTTAAACAAAAAATAAATAAAATTTAAATTAATAACATCAATCACTATTAAGTATCGCTTGCACAAATGAAAGGGTGACCAGGCATATTGAAAATGGTACCAATCCATGATTTCAAATATTATGGAGGGGCTAGATGAAATAGAAAAGACATAAGTATTTATTTATTAACTTGTACATATATTATTGTTTTCAATCTTTTTCTGTGGTGTTTTTAAACATCTGTGTCCAGTTGTTCACACATTGTTAGCTTAAGCATACGTTTACACGAGTCTTTCTTCCTCGGTATACTTAAGTCCGAATCAAACTGCATGTAAATATATCTAAAATGATCCTTCATAGACAAGAAATAACTAACAAAGTATGAAATTTTCAGGCATTTCTCACAAAAAAAAAGGTTTTACATTTTGGTATAATGTCAATATAAGCTACACATGCTTCTATGAAATGTGTCAAAGTAGTTTGTCCTTAAACATTAGATAATAGCGATTAACCAGGCTTTGTTTGTTTTCCATCCCTGTTCATGTAGTCAAGTATGTTAAAACTTAGACAGGAAAATGACGTAACGAGTTATTTTTTAATTTATTTTTTTACTTTTTTGGGGGGNTCTCATTGAAGAAATACGAGAAGAAACACACGATTTTATCTGTTTTAAAGTATGCGTCAGGTTGTACCTCTTGTAGTCCTATCTATAAACACCGATATAATCGCCACATGACACGAAATAGTATCCCCCTGGTACAATAGACCCATGTAGAGCTCGGCACAGGTATGTGATTGGATACTGGTATAACTGACAACCCCGTCACAGGTACATATAGTGCTAATTATAAAACTCCTAATTAACTATATCAATTACACTAAGGCTGAATCTGAATTAAAAAAAAACAACACATGCCCTTTTAAATCTCTGTCATTCACTGATTGACTGTCACTCTACATTTAATGTTTATTAAAAAAAACCATATACCAATCAACTTGTGTTGCAATGTTAAGTAATACATTATACCCTCGTGTCCATGTATATATCTCACTTTAATAGTGTTAATAATGTTATACACATGTATTAAGACATAAGTTGATATTTTTTATCAGAACGTAATTTGCAAGCAGCAAATTATTATTGGTACTTTATGTATATATATTGTAACTCTAAGTGACTTAAAACTTACCACATTTTGATATCTTAACTTAAATTGAATTTAAAGATATTGCCATAACTCATAAGATTGGGAACAAGTTGAAACAATGTTTGGCAATTTGATATCTGTTAATTATGCAGTGCAAAGTTACAGTTTTAGAAATTAAATATCATTGGAAAAAAATTACGTTGACAGACACACAGTAACCAGTTACAAATGAACATTTTAAAGGCGTAGACAAAATATAATGTCTTAATGGTATAAATACCAGTTTGCCACATCGATATTGTTAACAGATCATATTTATCATCCGAGAAATTCAATATTTACTTCTAAATTACATAAAGGAACGTGTTGATATAGGAATGACTTGAGTTTGTGTATACATAAATGTAACGATTCCTTATATCCTGTCGCCTTCCTGACACACACAGGTGAAACGTCTCGTCTATACGGTAACACAGGTGTACTCAATGCAGGTGTGCATATACCTGTATATAATTATTAGTGTAGGTAAATAGAATAATTAAAACGTTTCCTACCTGTACAAATTTCACTCATATACAGGCGTAATTTACAGAATCCAGGTAAATATCCATGGACAACCTCCGTTAAACTTTACATCTGAGGTACTATGTTGAAGTACGACAGGTTACATGATAGAAATCAACTTCCGAAGTCGTTCAGCTATAGCCTTATGGAGGCAGACATGTTTTGGGTTGTCATGGGAAGGTTGACAGAAGTCGAAAAGCGTCAAACTGGCATGCGCAATGGGTGTAAAAAGATTAAGCCACCGTGTCATTGATAATGGCAGGCGCTTTATGCGGGACTAATTCAAAGGTATTATAGACGGCCGATATACACCGGGTGCTTGGGTAGACCTCATTGAAAGGCGCTTTAAAGATCGATCTTCGGCGACGTGTAATGTATTTCTCTATGTATACACATGTGATAGGTATATCTACGGAACGACCGAAGGTAGCACTTACCGGTTTGTATAGCACTCAGAATATAGATAATATCCATTTTTAATATGACGAAGTAGTTTTAATCTATATAAACTCAACGGGATAAAATAAGTCGACGCATGAACTACTCCTGTGTTTCAAGCCCTGACTTTCCGTGTCGATGTTTCTGAACACAATGGTCCATAGCGTTTAAAAAGTACAAAAAAAAATATACAAATTACCAGTGGAAACTCGGTTTTATTTTTAGATTTCATACATATTAAAACGATCGTAGGAATAATATTGCTACCCAAAGCTGTTAAGTAAAACTTACACACATTCTTATTGTACGGAAATGTAGAGAACGCTATGCTTCTCTGTTTTACATGTTCTTGTACTACGTACTGCCCCATTTAATATATCAATTATTGTAATATATTGAAAAATGGTTATCTTACTTACGTTTAACATTAACTCGTTATGATCGTAAGAGGCGACTAATGTGCAGATTCATCCTGCAGAATCGGGGGGGGGGGGGGGGGGGGGGGGGGGGGCGTCTTCCTTGTCTCTCCTATTTAGGAGACATTGAAGATATCTTTAGTAGACCTGCTGTATCACACTGCACGTGTATCATTAAAGGCGACGTGTTTTTATGTGTCCTCTACTAGGGCGACACGTAAGAGACCAAAATTAATCTGCTGCCCCCATTGCAACACTCCGGATCTTTTTTTCGTTTCCCATCTTTCGGATTTTCTTTCTTTTCCATGGACTATCTTTTTCAGGCTGTGTCTCCCTTGGTACCCGTCCTCCTATCATTCTGGCTGTTGTGTCTCCCTTGGTACCCGTCCTCCTATTATTCTGGCTGTTGCGAGGACGTTAAACCCCCACATTAGTCGCCTCATTCAGTCTTTCTTCGAATAGCCTGCAAAGATACGGCGACGTATTAGTTATGAACTTGCTACAAGTACAGACTGGATACTAAATTTGTCAGGTTGGTATCGGCCGTATCGGGAGTATCACATTACTGCCTATTACCATGTATAGAGATTCAATATAAATTGTATATAAGGATACAATCTACCACTATACCCCATCAATCAATTCACGAGAAAAGGATTTGAAATCCATTTGTATCAAATCCCTTTCTTTGCATAAATTTGAAGTAATTGAATAATCTGAAAAGTTCATTATACCATGTCTTTAGGTGAATATATCTAAGCGAACTTTGTCCATATACTCGTGATGTATTGAATACAAAAGAGAAATGCTTATAATATGTCCAGATTCTCTGTATTTGTTGTATTTCGTGAAGAAGAAAAACAAGATTCATCATTCCCTTTCAGCCAGCTGATGAATTATTGTCAGTCGAACAAAACATTCCGAGTTTACCCAGTTATTTCGGCAACATAATGCAAAATAGGATTCATGGCGCTTATTCTAAATAAATCGTGAGCGATAACCTTTCTATTACATGTAATTTAATGTTATCAACATATGTTACATTTTCTCTCTACTTCCTAAAACTCTTTTTAAAATTTAATAATTTAAAATTAGCTTTGAAATCAAAACTGTATGTGTCAACACGGTAACAGCTTGGTGACGCAGCAGACCGCATCACACAACTGTCACATCCTTGAAGCTTTCTTTAAAACGCACCGCACCATAATGCCCGCTTTCAACAAGTATAAATATACCACATCCCTGGCTTCCTTAAAAGTTCCGAGATGGCTAGGCTCCCTGCTATCCCGGATGCGATCCACTACGTCATCAAAGTACCACAATGCTAACCACGTGCAGGTGATATATAAGTATATTTATTTTTGTTTTAACATATTTTTAATTAAATCGTTTTGAATTTTTAATGTATTCGTGAACTGATATGAATAGGAAACAATTTTCATTAGCAGTAAACATGTCTGAACCATACAAAAGTAAATCAGTAGTTAAAAAATCTAAATTCAAATTCCCTAAAAGTTTTCTCCTGAGGGTATTTCTGGCTTCTACATACAATGGACATTCTAAAAAGTAATGCTCAACATTTTCTATAGGATAAGAGCATATGCATTCAGGCGACTGAATTACATTTATACGTTTGAGGTCAAGGTAAAAGAAGTAGAGCTACCAAATATGACCTGCTGCTTTCTTTCTAGTAGATAATCTTTAATCCAGGATAGATAACCCTTGATACCATAAGCATATAATTTAATTAATAAACCCCTGTGCCACACCCTGTCAAAAGCCTTAGATATATCATAAAATGTCATACATGTTTGTTGCTTACTTTCCAGAGCAGAACAAATATTATGATAAATTTCTATTAATTGGTAAACGGTTGAATGTCCTTTAACGAAACCTGATTGATATTTGTAAAGTAATTTATTCTCTAACATATAATTATGAAGGTATTTGTGTATGACTCTCTCAAACAGTTTGCTTACAGAACTTAACAGTGATATCGGTCTATAGTTAGATGGAAGAGTTCGTTCATTTTTCTTGTAGCTCATTTCCATGCCGAGGTTAATTTGCATTCTCTTAACGATCTAGTGAATAAAATAAACAGGGGTTCACAAACTGTCTCGGCAGTATTTTTTAACATATTGTTACTTATAGTATCATTTCCAGTTGCCTTGTTTAACTTCAATGTCTTAAGAATATCATGAATATCAGATTTAGTAATTACAATGGAATGTAACGACGAATTACAACGGGGTGGCAAACTGGGACTGTCCAGGTCTTTATCGATATTAGATATCGAACAAAAATATTTATTTAACACATTTACTTTACTAATTTCGTCATGCCCGAAAACATTGTTAGCGTCGTAAAATGGTGTGATAGAATCAGTATTAGTTTGTTTACCAATCAGTCGGCGCACGAGTCGCCAATAAGTTTTCGAGTCGGAGGCGTTTACTAGGTCAATAACACCATTTATATTTTCTTAAAAGGATGCCTTAGCATGTTTTCTAATATTATTAACGTTATTTCTTTGGGCTTTAAACTTGTCCATGGAATATTTGTTATTGTTTTTACGGTAGAGTTTTTGTAACCTATTACTTTTCCTTATTTCTAGGCGCAATTCTGATGTGAATCATAGATTTTCGTTTTTTCTTACAGTGACATGTTTAACTGGAATACTGACTTCAGCAAATTCTAAAAGACGTAAATATTACACAGGCTTCATCTAAACTAGATGCTGAATCCAATGTCTAATTCCAGGAGAAGTCTCTAATTCGACTATTAAATAAACCAAAACCATTATCTTTGTATATCCAAACCTCGCGTTTAAAAGTGATAATTTATGTTTGTGGTACTTCTATTACAACAACAGTGGCGGAGTGATCACTAATTACGTTATCAACAGATAACACGGAGGTAACTTTCACATTGTCACTCACTAAAACAAGGTCAAGTAATGAACTGGTATTTTCGGTAACTCGAGTGGGTTCGGTTATAACGTTTTCAATATTAAAGATCAGGATGAGTTCGTGTAATCTACTATTTGATACAGTAAGAAAGTCTACATTAATATCCCCCTGTATTATTACATTATTACTATACGAAAGAGCATTATCGATAGAATTTTGAAAGTCATCCCGAAATTTAACACTGGGTATTCCTAGGAGGCGGTAAACAGTACATAACAAAATAGTATTTTTTTCAGTGATTAGCTCTATCCAGATAACTTCACCACCTTTGAATTCCAAATCGTATATCCGCTTGTAAAGTAAATCATCGGATACAGATACCATAACTCCGCCACCGTATCTGTTTCTATCAAGTCGTATAGGAGTACAAAAGCCATCTACAGATAAATCAGAATTTATACAATTCGCGTCCAAATGTGTTTCGGAAATAGATAAAACTTGATATTCGTGTGCTAAACATTCTATAGACGGAATTTTGTTGCGAACACTTCTACTATCTAAATGAAACAAGGATATTTCTCTGTTACCTTCAGGTCCTGGATTTGTCTCTATGTCGTTACATACAAGTAGTATCAGTAAGAGGATTAATACAATATTTGTGTTTGGTATAACAGACTGCATTGTAATAAAAACATATGACATTTAATAGGCTTTCATAATGGTAGAAAATAAAAACAAAAAATTCGTTAAGTTAAAAAAATGGAAAAAAAAATTCTTTGTAATATATAAACAATATAAATTATCTTGAACAGAGTAACATTTGATATAATGTAGACCTATTGCCGTCCTTTACAATGATATATCAATGAACATCGAGGTATACAAACCAACAGACAAGGCGACAATTCTTTAGGACTACCAACACATACATTGTTTAGGACTACCAACACATACATTGTTTTAAGACATGTTTGGGTACGTTCAATACATTTGGAAAGAACAAAACAAAAAATAAAATGAAAAGTCAACATAAAATAAGTATATATATACAAAAATATTCAAATCCATGAATGAAGAAGGAGAAAGTCTTCTAGGTTTATATAATATGACTACCTGGTGTCCATGGCCTATACCATATTATGTAGGTTGTTCTAATATATTGTACTAATGTTGTTAAATAAGGCCATATCAAGCTGAGACGGATCTATTCATATAGTTATTCGCACTTTGTATGTTCAATTTCTCGTGTTTTATAGCTAAACCTATTGATATACTTCAGGAGATATGCTCGATCATTATTGTTAAAACTATTAACGTACATACGGTCGACCATGCGTTCAATGCGTTTCTTGAACTCGTCAACAAAGTGTGGTTCATTGAGAGGATTGATAAATTACGAAAATGTTTATACCACGCTTCTCTCAAAATATCAGAATCACGAGT